AGTCAGTGCATTTTTTCTCTTTTGCTTTAATTTTAATACCACACTCAATAATTCTCTTTAAATGCCCCCTTTGTATCTGATCATTTTATTTATTTCTTAAGAAAACTTAAAATAGTTATCCATCTATTCTGTGCCTATTAGATAATCCTATATAATAAAGAGGCAATATGCAAATTAACCCTTACACCCTCACAAGATGGCTGCCTACGACCAGGCCAGCAGGGGGGTTAGTGAGGGACGACCAAACAACTGAACAGCAGGCTGTGTGGGGTGACCAGGCCAGCAGGGGGGTTAGTGAGGGACAACCAAACGACTGAAGAGCAGGCTGCATGGGGCGATCAGGCCAGTGGGTGGGCCATGAGGGGCAACCAGGCCAGCAGGGGGTCAGTTGGGAGTGACCAAGTCAGCAGGGGGGGTGCAGTTAGGGGTGACCAGGCTGGAAGAGGGGGGCAGTTGGGGGCAACTAGGCTGGCAGGAGGGGCAGTAAGGGGTGACCAGGCCAGTGGTGGGGCAGTTAGGAGCGATCAGGCCAGCAGGAAGGGGGCAGTTGGGGGCAACCTGGCTGGCAGTGGGGGGTTGTTAGGGGTGACCAGGCCGGCGGGGGAGCAGTTAGGGGCGATCAGGCTGGCCGGGGGGCACAGTTAGGGGCGACCAGCCAGGCAGGCAGGTGAGCGATTAGGAGCCAGCAGTCCAGGATTGTGAGAGGGATGTCTGACTGTCAGTTTAGGCTCGATCCCTGTGATCGGGCCTAAATCTGCAGTCGGACATCCCCTGAGGGGTCCTGGATTGGAGAGGGTGAAGGCTGGGCTGAGGGGACCCCCCCCCATGCACAAATTTTGTGTACTGGGCCTCTAGTTAACAAATATTTGAAAATTGACTTAATAGCAATTTATTTTATTAAATTCAGTTTATTTATTCCACATTTCAGTGAGTACCTACTGTGTACATCAAGCATGTCAAACTCAAAGGCTAACATGGACCAAATAAACAAGGCATGCGGCCTGCAGGCTGCAAGTTTGACATGTTTGGTGTACATGATGGGTTTATGCTGCTAGGCACTGTTAGGGCTACATAGGTGAATTCCAAGAGGCTCACTGTCATTAATAATTTCATAAGGAAAGATTAGTACAAATAAGCCTAATGTAATGTGGATTATAATGAGGTCATAAGAAAAAGCCAAGTAAAAGGATGGGATCCTGATGAGAGAAGATTTTCTGGAGAGGTGGCACTCTGTGCCATGCCCATGTCTTCAGCCGCCTGCCAGAACTCCCACCTAGAGTGAAGGGATGGCCTTTGTCCCTCTCCTCTTGGCAGCAATACCTGCTCTCTTTAGGGTGCCATCCTTTCTAAATCCTGGAATGAGTTGCAACATTTTGAGCTTCTGGAAGAAACATTCTATTAAATCCAAACAGCACATAGCATTGACATATTTTTAAAATATATCTCTTTACACTTTTCCTGATTTAGTGAAGGATGATTTTGAAGATAAAGTCATTAGGTACCCAGTTGTTGTTTTTTGTTGTTGTTTTTGTTTTTAAAATATATTTTTATTGATTTCAGAGAGGAAGGGAGAGGGAGAGAGAGATAGAACATCAATGATGAGAGAAAATCATTGATCAGCTGCCTCCTGCATGACCCCTCCTGGGGATCCAGCCCACAACCCAGGCATGTGCCCTGACCAGGAATCGAACCGTGACCTCCTGGCTTATAGGTTGATGTTCAACCACTGAGCTACACAAGCCGGGCTAGGTACCCAGTTTTGAAGTAGATTGTCTGGCACTAGAGCAGCATCAAGTGCAGGATAATACATTATTACCGTATCATGATGGCATAGCATGAGAATTTTCATTTGCTCTCAGGTATGCCAAATGCACAGTTGAGCCAACTCATCTCCTTGATGCAAGCTCATGATGCTTATCAGCCAGTCAGTGTATGTTGGGAACCTGGGTCTGCATTAATCAGCATTTTCTCATTTCCAAATAGCCATGCATTCTGTGCCTACCCTGTGTTACTGGTTATTTTTATTTAACAAACAAATTCTACAAACTGAGACTATAATATTGACTCTTACCATATTTTTTCTTACATCCACTTCTTATGGTTTAAAAAAGTTGCTACCTTATATCAAGATTCTAAAATTAATTAGTTCTGAAATTGAAATAAGCACATTCATTTGCTTATTTTTCAGTATGAAAGTTTAAGTCAATTATAGAAAGATGATTTTCTAGTTTATAGCCAATGCATTTACTTTGTAACTATTGATTACTAAAAAAAATAACCCTTAAATATTTGGAAAAGTGGTTTTCTTTTAAGAAATACTACATTGTGCTCTGGTGCTTGGAGATGGCTATTTATACTTAGTTAGTAAAAAGAGTGAATATATGTATAAATGTTTGAATTCTAATACACCTTTCACTTATTTCAATGTAAAAGATAAATTAAAAAATTAAATAAGAATGAAACATAATGTAAAAATAAGATGTTATGTAGATTGTCATAGCAAAATTCCCATATACTATATTGTTTCAAGAAGATGCATTTTTATGGGTCTGGCAATTTTGCTGAAATAGTCAATTACTCCTTTAGGTAAGATAGATCTGTCTCCTCTCAGAGAATAATTTGGAGTAATTATATGTATGGTAATTTTAACTTTTCCATGGACAAAAATTGCTAAAATATCAAAAGGACCCTAAAGACCTGATTTAGATACTCTATCTTGTGCTGATAAGAAAATTCACCCAATTCATTTGTGGATGCTATAGAGCTCAGGTTGGGGTCAGGGTGGGGTGGAATATATAGGGTGGGGCAAAAGTAAGTTTACAGTTGTTTGTCTGGAAAATAATACAATAATTAATAAGTAATAATGCAAGAATAAACTCTGTGTTTCTGGTACTCACAACAGTAAACCTATTTTTGTACCTATAGGTCTTGTGTCTACATTGTGATACTATTAATTCACATGACAGGCATTTGCCAAATTTTACTGTTTTACACCAGATTAGTTTTGAGAGATACCTTAATGAATTAGGCAAAATCTCAGTCTTTATTTGACTGATGGGCCAATTTTGTGTATAATGCATTATATGGTATCTTTTTATCCAAAATGAACATATTAGGACCATGTGCTGGCCTAAACAGCATTCAAAGTCCATCTCTATGATATCTGCTTGCTTCTGTCTTGAGCTGTGTAGATGAGAAAGGTAGGAGAAATATGATAGAAAATTTAAAACACATTTATAGAGGTACATTTCCATTCTTCTCAGTCAAAAGTAAAAACACAGTAACTCTGCATGAACAACTTCATTTATGATCTAGAAGATAGCAAACAGCTTGTTAATTAATTAAAAAATGATTCTAAGTTGAGACGTGCCACAAACATCAACAAGGACAGAGAAATGATGCCATAAAAGGACAGAAGAGAAAAAGTAAAATTGAGTCTGGAAAGAAGCAGCAAGTATCCATGAAGTTAGCTCTGCACTCCCTCTTGCTGAAGTGTTAATTATCAAATGTATCTAATTAATCCCAGTAATATCTGTATGGTAGAGAAACACATACTGAGTAATGGAGATACTAAATGATACCTTCATTTGCCTGTCTTTAGGAAAGTAAATAGATTGAGAAGAAAAGAAAGACCTGCATATCAAGGCACCCAACTAATTAAATAAGATAATCATGCTACATAAAATACATAATTCAACAAAAATTAATGGGGAAAGGAGATCTTCTGCACAATAGGAATTTTTAAAAGACTCAGCCTTTCTCCTTATGAAAGATACAAATCAGCCTCTGTATCCCTAATGTGGACAGCCTGTGGGTAGGACATCAAATTCCTGTCTATGCATGGATGTGGAATCTCTATGCCTGGTTGTTATGACCTGAGAGGAAACCTAGGTTTGACATAGTTTGGAAAATATAAGGGAATATGGTGTTTTGGTTGTTTTGCTGTCATATTCCTGGCTCCTTCTGTCCATCCCTCAAGCCCCAGAGTGCTGAGCAGCTGGCTCTGCAGCTGTAAGAAAGTCTGGGACAATCTTCCTATGGGGTACACATAAATCTTGCCAAAGTGAAACAGAGAAAACTTTTTGCTTATTTGTGTGTGTGTGTTTTTTTTCATTTCCAGGTTCTTGATATAATTGAAAAACTGTATCATGTAAAGTATTTTCCCCTTCTTCAGTGGTCTGTGTTCTTTGCCCTTTTCTTTCAAGTTTCATGGAGAGACTTTTAGGTTTCTAAAATAATAATTTAAATAAACATTTTTCTTTCATCATCCTTGCAATAGAAACTGTAAAATTGGTTTCTTCATCTCCCACAAAAGATTGAATTCATACTAATGGGCTCAGAAATGCTGGTAGCAAGCTGTCTTGCCAGCTACAACCTGCTGCCCTCAGCAGCTGGAACCATACTTAGGCAAGATGATGCTAGTTAACTCTGATGACCTTGACCCAACACCTATCTACCTACTTGGACTTGCTCACACATGCCTCACTCCTGGGAGTAGGCATTCCAAACTCATACAGATCAGATGCAAATTCTGAAATCTGGTCTAATTCCTACCGTGGTGGGGCATAACTTAAATCATCACACAAGAAAATAGCTATGAAAGAATAAGTACAATTCAAAACTGGGGAAATGTGCCACATTATCAATCATCTGATTCTCAAAATTACTTAAACAGATGGAGTTCTGTGTGAATGACCTTTTCCTAGACAAGAAGATAATCCAGTGGGAAATCAATACCCATTTAACTTTGCCTGCATTACTCATACTTGCATTGCTTATTGCTGAGTTGAGTCTAATGTAATGATATCTATCCATTGAATGGTAATTAAATCTTCAAGAAGAACTAGTGATGATATTTAAGACTCTAAGAAAGAACATGGCAATGGTTCATCCTGCATTAAATATTTTTCTTGACTGGTCTTGTTGAGTCTAATCATGTGAAGAATGAATGCAGATGCAGGCATGGCTAAAGCTCTAATGTTGTTATTCTGCTCTGCCAGGTGCATTGTAGAAGACAAGAACTCAAAAGTGGCCTGGCTGAACCGTTCTGGCATCATTTTTGCTGGGCATGACAAGTGGTCTCTGGACCCCCGGGTGGAGCTGGAGAAACGCCATTCTCTGGAATACAGTCTTCGAATCCAGAAGGTGGATGTCTATGATGAGGGTTCCTACACTTGCTCGGTTCAGACACAGCATGAGCCCAAGACCTCCCAAGTTTACTTGATCGTGCAAGGTAAGAAAATGATAGGATAGGTGAGGTGGGGGGCACTGGATAATCATGATGTACAAAATACTTGCATAATACTTTCTAAAAATAAAAAAGGAAGACTTTTAAATGTATTATGGCACTTAAGTATCTCTTTTTTTCTCTAAAAGGATAGACTTATAATGAGAAGACTAAGGAGAATATAGAGTTGAGTCTTGCCACTGTGAGCCAGTACCCTTGGTGAGAATCTTTTCTCCTAGCCCTCAGTGTGAAAATACACAGCAAAGGCTATAGCCATTGGAATAAGATGAAACAGGAACACAAGAACACACACATGCTTAGAACCATGTGAAATCCACTTTTTCATGCTGTTGAGCACTGCATACTTTGCTGAAGGTTTGATTTTTACCTGTCCCCAGCCTAAATAATATCCCTAACTATCTGTTTTCATGATAGCAAATGTTGTTTGGAAAAATAAAAGTTTCCAGAGGCCTTGACATCCTCTCCGCTGGCCAGCTTTCTATGTAGTTTGTGTCTCCATCTAATGGCAAGTTATTTGTGAGCAAATCCAGTGACAAGGATCTGCAAAGTCATTAGGGAAAATCTGCTCTAGATTGGGGTTTCCAAGGACACATCTGAGTCATGGTTTTATAGGATGAAAACCCTAAATGGCATACACATGCTCCCAAACTATAGCTCTCTAGGGTCCTGTTCCCCATAACTGCAGAAAGAGAACAAAGCTGATCAGCTGCACAATTTTATTGCAAGCGAAGTCAAACCACCAGCAATTTCAATCTATCTAACAAGATCTAAACACTAACAAATATTAGGGCTGTGTTCATGTATTCTTGATTTACAATTTTATGTAAATTTAATGCAAATTAGGCACGGCCCTCTGGGCTCCTGTCAAGATTCCAATGCAGTCAGTGGTGTGGCAAAGTTGACTGTAGCTTCTATTAATGTGTATGGAATTGATTACTGCAGCATTTAAATTATTGCTCTTCCAACTACTCTGATTAATAGGTTGAAACTGGAGTAAAATACATCAGAGGCTGCCTGGTACAGGGGTGGTTTAGTCAGGTGACCTCCATCTTGGTCCATTTGCAATGGCTGACAGCTTCATTTTATTGCTTTTAAAAGGCATGTCTACTGACTTGCAAAGTTCCTTTCACAATCAAAGCAGAGAATACTTTCCATTTAGTTTAATAGAAAGTACTTGAGGTACAATAATAAGAGACACCAGGGCTTGGATCTCAGGCAACCCATTAAAAATTTTTAAATATAACTAGAGAATTGTAAATATGTAAATTTACCATTTCCCTCATAAACACACTCTCTCTCTATGAGATATGCACACAGACACACACACACACATATGCACGCACGCATGCACATGCATACCTCAAACCAAAGTTCTACTGCATTGAATAGCAGACAAAGGGGAGGTAACTGGTTTATTTAAGGTCCATTATAAGACTAGATGCCCGGTGCATGAAATTAGTGCATGGGGGCAGTCCCCTCAGCCCAGCCTGCACCCTCTCCAATCTGGGACCCCTCGGGGGATGTCCGATTGCGGGTTTAGGTCTGGTCCTGGGGATCAGGTCTAAACCGGAAGTCAGACATCCCTCTCATAATCCAGGAACACTGGCTCCTAACTGCTCCCCTGCCTGCCAGCCTGGTCGCCCCCAACTGCCAACCCCTGTCGACCTGGTCGCCCCTCACTGCCCCCCCTGCCGGCCTGGTCACTACACACAGCCTGCTGTTCAGTCATTTGGTCGTCCCTTCCTAACCTCCCTGCCAGCCTGCTCGCCCCACGCAGCCTGCTGTTCGGTTGTTACTATGAGTGCATCCTGACCAATTTGCATGTTACCCTTTTATTAGTATAAATTGCTACACAATCAATATCAATACCTTTACAGGTATGAGAGGGAAAGAGAGATAGAAACATCAATGATGAGAGAGAATCATTGATCAGCTGCCTCCTGCACACCCCTCCCCCCCTGGAGATTGAGCCTTCAACCTGGCATGTGCTCTTGACCAGAATCAAACCCGGGACCCTTCAGTGCACAGGCCAATGCTCTATACACTGAGCAAAACCAGCTAGGGCTGAAGCACTTTCTACTAGAATGAAAATTTTTATTATGCTAAGTGAAATAACTCAGTTAGAGTTTGATAAACAAAATAGATCCAGAGACATAGAAGCATGAAATAGACTGTTGATTCTCAGAGGGAAGGCAGGGGTGAGTGGGTGGGAAGAGATCAACCAAAGAACTTGTATGCATATATGCATAACCCATGGACACAAACAATAGGGTGGTGAAGGCCTAGGGTGGGGTGTGGGGAGGGGTAGAAGAGATCAATAGGGGGGAAAGGGGGATATATGTAATACTTTAAACAATAAAGATTTAAAAAAAAGAAAAAGAAAAATTTAGAACCTAAAACTAAAAAGAGAAAATTTTTATTATTACTTCTAGAACTACCACATTTATATTTAAGTCTGAGCTCTTAGTGCCAAATGTTCAATGCTCTTTCCTTTATTTCTGATTCAACTATTCACTTTTTAACCCAGAGGGTTAGAGCTAGAACTAGATTAGATTGTACTGCACACACCTCCATGCCATGTCAGCACATGTGAAATTAACTTAAATTTAACTTAATATTAAAGGAAGGAGATGAACCTACTAAGTGCCAAGTACCATATATTCCTTGTTTCATTTAATTATAATATTACTAGAAACCTGGTGCATAAAAATTTGTGCACTCAGTGCAGGGGGGGGGCGCGGAGGGGGTCCCTCAGCCCAGCCTGTGCCCTCACACACTCTGGGATCCCTGGAGGGATATCCACCTGCCAGCTTAGGCCTGCTCCCCTGGGGATGGGGCCTAAGATGGCAGTCAGACATCTCTCTTGCAGCCTGGGAGCCCTCGGGGGATGTCCGTGGGGAGCGGGCATAAGCTTATAGTCAGACATCCTTAGGGCAGTCACGGAGGCAGGAGAGGCTCCCGCCACCACAGCTGCATTGGCCAGCTATGAGCTGGCTTCTGGCTGAGCAGTGCTAAAAATAGATCCAGAGACATAGAAGCATGAAATAGACTGTTGATTCTCAGAGGGAAGGCAGGGGTGAGTGGGTGGGAAGAGATCAACCAAAGAACTTGTATGCATATATGCATAACCCATGGACACAAACAATAGGGTGGTGAAGGCCTAGGGTGGGGTGTGGGGAGGGGTAGAAGAGATCAATAGGGGGGAAAGGGGGATATATGTAATACTTTAAACAATAAAGATTTAAAAAAAAGAAAAAGAAAAATTTAGAACCTAAAACTAAAAAGAGAAAATTTTTATTATTACTTCTAGAACTACCACATTTATATTTAAGTCTGAGCTCTTAGTGCCAAATGTTCAATGCTCTTTCCTTTATTTCTGATTCAACTATTCACTTTTTAACCCAGAGGGTTAGAGCTAGAACTAGATTAGATTGTACTGCACACACCTCCATGCCATGTCAGCACATGTGAAATTAACTTAAATTTAACTTAATATTAAAGGAAGGAGATGAACCTACTAAGTGCCAAGTACCATATATTCCTTGTTTCATTTAATTATAATATTACTAGAAACCTGGTGCATAAAAATTTGTGCACTCAGTGCAGGGGGGGGGCGCGGAGGGGGTCCCTCAGCCCAGCCTGTGCCCTCACACACTCTGGGATCCCTGGAGGGATATCCACCTGCCAGCTTAGGCCTGCTCCCCTGGGGATGGGGCCTAAGATGGCAGTCAGACATCTCTCTTGCAGCCTGGGAGCCCTCGGGGGATGTCCGTGGGGAGCGGGCATAAGCTTATAGTCAGACATCCTTAGGGCAGTCACGGAGGCAGGAGAGGCTCCCGCCACCACAGCTGCATTGGCCAGCTATGAGCTGGCTTCTGGCTGAGCAGTGCTACCCCTGTGGAAGTGCACTGACCACCAGGGGGCAGCTCCTGCCTTGAGAATCTGTTCCCTGGTGGTCAGTGCACATCATAGTGACCAGTTGTTTCTGGTAGTTCCGCCATTAGGGTCAATTTCCTTTTTACCCTTTTATTATATAGGATTATAACTTTATTATAAACTATAAGCCTGTTGCACGAAGATTCGTGCAATAGGCCTTCCTTCCCCTGGCTGCTGGCACTGGTTTTCCTTCGGCACCCAGGACCCAGGCCTTTGGTCCAGCCGCAGCGGAGAAGCCAAGCCTTTTCAGTCTTCAGTCTTCAGTCTTCACTCCGGCTGGAGCCTTCAGTCTTTGCTCCAGGCCTGTGTATGCAAATTAACCACCATCTTTGTTGGGTTAATTTGTATAGTCGCTCTGATTGGCTAGTGGGCGGAGCAGAGTGACACCAATTTGCATGTTTCTCTTTTATTAGTGTAGATATGCAAAAACTTAAAGTTCAGGGATAATTAGGAGCTTGATAAAGGCTTCCTGTTGGCTGAGAACAGGGTTTTAAACCCATATCTGACTCAACATGTTATTGAATTTTAGTCTTATCCATATTTCTTTGAAAGAGAAAATTATCAACAAAGACTGTACTTATAAGGGAGATGAAGAAAGGATTGTCTCTTCCTTGAGCCTGAGTCATGAAAGGTGATTTTTTTGGACATTTATATGGCTGTTGATCTTTAGCACAAGATGACTGAACCTCTTCCCCCTAGGACACTCAACTTTGTGATTATGTGAGGTATTCCATCCCTGTACACTATTCATGCTGCTTCCTACTCCCCGCTTCAACTTTACATGTTTCTACCACTTCAAATATTCTGCTCCTAGGTCTGGCTGACCTGTCTTTCCTCCAATCCCACAGCACCCTCCTTCAGAATATGTTTCCTTTTAGTTTTTCAAACTTGCTTACCTTCAACTTAACTGATTATTAAGTAAACTAGAGGCCTAGTGCATGAAATACATACACTCGGTGGGGTCCCTCAGCCCGGCCTGAGCCCTCTTGCAGTCTGGGAGCCCTCAGGGGATGTCCAACTGACAGCTTAGGCCCACTCCCCACAATCAG